GCAGTGCCCTCCTGAGCTACAGTCTTATCCAGAAACGATTAAGCCTAAAACCACCCTGGCTGAATGACAGGTAATTTAGGCGCGCTATAGGGTGAGCCTTCCTACGTGTCTATGCTGAATACAGTTGCTTTAGTTCCTTTCGGCTGGCAGCTCTCCAGGAGCAAACCGCAATTTCACTTATTCAGCCTATTTTGTTTTTACAACAGCATCTCAATACAGAAGTATTTTAAATAAAAATAGACTGTATCTGTCCAAGCAGCCCCCAGTCTTAAAAGAGACCATGGGCTTTCTTATCCTCTGAGGACCTGTAGATTTCCTGGAAAGAGATTTTTTCTATTTTTTAGAGGTGTTAATGCAGATCAGACTATTTGAGGACAAGAAGGAGATTCAGCTCAGGTTTAAAGAGACTGATCAGCCTGATGATGTTCTGTCTGCCAGTCAGGGTAATAACATATCATACTTTCATACTCTTGTGAAATCCATCCTGGCTATACCTATAAGCGTATCAAAGATATTTGCTTCCATAGAATCAGAAAATATTGTTGTAAAACACCCTTGGTTTTCAAATCTCCATGTGCTACTGTGTAAAGCCCTTTGGCCCTTGCAAAACTCTTTCTTCAGCGATTGAAATTAGAGAAATAATGGTACACATCAACCCTGCTTAGAGGAAGAGGAGCATTTTCTAATCCATTTAACACAATCCTGTGGGTAATTCTCTTGATGGCTTTTATTCCTTCTAGGTCTAACACACACCGAGACATTAAATACTCGGAAAATTCACCTGAAAGCAAATTTCCTTTATCTCACCTTCCATCAGATTCAGCTTTGGAAAGTGTTTTGGAAAGACATTAAAATATACCACCTCTGGAGGGATGCTGCTCCCTCCAGAAGGCACTGACGGGGGTGTGCGACTGCCCCTGCCAGGGCTCATCCCGCTGCCCCAAACCAACCCCCCCAACTCCCAGCATGGGGAGACAAGGACCAGGCACCCCCAGTCATCTGGAACAACCTGCGCTTAAATGACGCGGCCACTAGATGTCATTCCTTTTTCACTCAAATGTAGGTTAAAGAAGCATTTACCTGGCAGAATGTCCCCCCCAGGCACTACCGAGCTGGGGCACACGGCTGCTGTGGGGAGGAGTGCCATGGCCTGGGAGACGCTCAATTCTGTAGGACCTGCCGCTGGACAACTTTCCAGAGAACAGCCCCATGCTGGCAGGAGAAAGGACCGCCCAGCCCAAGACTTGTGTCAGGCTTTTACAGCTCTTCACAACTGTACGTATCACACTTAAGGAGATATTTAATGAGAACTTCACAACGCAGAGCTCAGTGTGTTCACTGCGGAGACACGAAGCTCATGAGCTGCTGTTAAACCTGCCCCGTCCTCCCTGAGCAGCAATGCAGGCCCAGATCTGCAATCTTCTTGGGTGCTCATTTTTCTCCGGTTCAGGAGGAATTTAGTGTCTGCCTTCTTCTGAGAATCCAGGTCCAAGTCACCTCATCAGGCACTGCTCGGGAGCCGACCACATCCCACCCATGAGCCCGACTCCCAATGGCAGTGGGAGGGAAGGACCCAGACCCCACAGCGGGCATGGAGCCCATTGAGGTCCACGATGGCATAAACTGGGATCTGTATGACTTCCTCGAGTTCTGCTGCATGTTTGTAGGGGTATAACTAACGGGAAAGTTTGGTACGGTGTGACTAAATATTTGCAGATCTTTTAGGATGGAATGAAAATTCAGAATAATATAAATAATAAAAACATTTCTCAAAGGATGTTCAGTGTCTTGAGCAAAATGCAGTTTGACTTTCTGTATTTTTAAAGATTTGGTATCAGTTTAAGATACATCATTTACTGCTCTTTATTGATGCTCAGATGACAATAGGCAGTGGGTACAAAATGAGTTCTCATTTATTAGCATGCAGACCTCTGTACTGCTGTGTGGTTTCTAAAATTACCAGGCATATTTGGGATGCTCTATGTCTATGGATTATGAAGGCTGGAAAGAACCAGACCACATCATTTCATCCCCCATCTCTTCATTTTCACCTTAACAGCACTAGAAATTTGTCACTTACAATCTCTTTATTTTTTCCCCTTGACCCCCAGTAATAGCAACTCGGAGCACATGAGAACAGAATAGAGAAACACGGTACTAATATAAGAAACATCTTTAACTGATTAAAACCAGATGTACTGAAGAATGTCTACAAGTTTACTGCTGGCACACACAAATACATCTGCTAGACCTATCAGTGAAATACAAATTTTACCAGATACCTGTTACCATTTAGAGTATTTACTGCTTCCCTGAAATCAGATCTGAGCTGCTAAACCCAAAATATCTCTTACTGCTCAGGATTTCACTCATAAGCAATAACAACTCTGATATGTCTACAGCCAATTGCTGTGAAACAACCGTATCCTCTTTGGTGCAATCAGACATAGTCTGTTTGCCACAGTATTTCGGCTCCTTTAGTACCTCAGCGAAATTGGTCACCAAATAGTTTTCCTAGTTCATGAATCATTCTTCTCTTCCTTTTTCCTTTTTTCCTCCTTTTTCCCCCCCCAAAAGTCTTTGTTCCACGGTTATCTGTCAAGTTCTTCCTATCTGCCAAACCAGCTAAGAGAGACGATGGCTATAAACACCCACGAATTACAAACACGCTGTGTGTCCGTGCACCACTGTGCTGATGTATCGATACTCACAGTGCTGGTAGTGAATTCGGGTGGGTTGTCATTCACATCTGTCACCGTGATGATCGCTGTTGCCGTGTTTGAGAGACCATAGTTAAGATTTCCTTCCATATCTGTGGCTTGAACAATGACTATGTACTGCTGAACTTTCTGGAAAAAAAAAAGAAAAGAAAAGAAAAGATGAGCAACAAAAACGCATCCTGTAAAATGCCTTGGGTTATTTTCCATAAACAAGTGCAATCTTTAGGCAGACTAAGAAGTTAATCGGACTCAAAATGTTAGTAAAAAAGACAGATAAAGTTCTTTATCACGTTTTTAAAGGGATTTTTGCATAGATTGGTAGATATCACCTGTTTTATGGGAAAATAAAAATCTTATGGGCAAAATTCTCAGTTGAAACACACTTGTGTTCATTTTCAAGCATTTTCGGCAACATTAGTTTCTCTCTTCTGAAAACTAGTAAAGATTTTGCTAATGTGTTTTCATTGAAAACACCACTAGGAACATTATACCCCCCAAATTGACAGCAATGTTGCCTGGCCACCCTCCAGCTCGTTCTGCTCGCACAGTCCGATGCCCACAAAGCATTTTGATACTTGAAATACTCTCCATGTTTCAATCCTTAACGCAATCTTGGTAAATAAGGAGAATTTAAGTCCAGTATGAAAAAAAAAATTATTCAAGGCAATAAACAGAAGTTCAGTGGAACTGATTTAAATTCCTGAACACCCCAAACAACACGGTTCTCACAGAAAAAGCCTTACAGAGCAAGCCATAAAAATGACACATTAAAAGTTCTTCTAGAAGCCGCTGTATGTCAGTGCAACCAGGCAATAAACCTGAATAAAATAGGAGAGGACACCTGATCTCAGATGTGCACACATCTCCCTGGGATGTCTCTTTACTTAGGAATATCTGCCCGCACTGAGAAAAGCCTCCTGATCTTTAAAACTGGCCTCAGAAATAAATTTTCATTTGGATCTGCTGAATTTACCATTGACGCCTCCACGTGTCGCGCTGAAGGCACAGGGAGCTCTGGGCAGGCAGCTATGAAAGGAGAGCTCCTCTCCTGAGACCTGGGCGAAGGGATGCGCCCAGAACCAGGGAGGGATGCAGCCCAAATTGGTGGGGCTCAGGGCAAATTGAACACCACCCCCTGTTCCTTGAGCTTGAAGGCATAATTACAGACACGAGCTGGGATGCAAGCACCAGCGGCTCCGACAGCACGTTGGAGAGCCCGAAGGGTGGGAAGCCCAAAGGGGGACACCATGTTCTGCGGCAAAAGCTTTGCGCCGAGTCAAGGGCATTGCTCCTGCTCATGGCACACAGCTCAGACACTCGAGAGCTGCTCCGTTCACGGGCCAACGTTACAAGTGTGTGTAAAATATCAAATGTCATTTGAAATTTCAAAGGGCGAGAATTAGGTCAATTAGGTCTCTCTACTCCTACATAAGCATTCTCGAAGTGCTGTAACTGGCTTAATTCTTTAATTCTTCTGAGTTGCAAGAATAACAGAGAACTGAGTTTTAGCTCTATCTTGATTCCAGGTCTTTTAATTGACAGATATTAACCTGCTAAAATGACAAGACATCACACACGGGGATCCATCAGCACCTTGAAACTGGAATATATTATGGAAATGCACTTTCATTATCTCTTGCCACCTTGTATAATAAAACATGAGGGAGAAACTATTGTTAGCCCTTGTTTATCCTCACGCAAAAAAGTTGCTGTTCATTACCGCGTCTGTAAAGCGCTGGGTAATTGTAAGGCTGAAACGTCCTTATTAGCGAATGTAATTTCTATTTCACATTTAGCTTTTCCTTCTCCATTCTCTCTCACAGACAACTTGGGAGGCTGACAGAAGTATTCCCTAACAGGCCAAGTGCTTGTGAGCCAAATTAAGTTTAAATCATAGAAGGGGGGAAAAAGATTTAAAAAAATAGTGGCAACCAGATTCCACGTAAATTAGAAAAGCGGGTTGGGGGCCCACATGAGAGACTCCTTTTCAACAGTGCATGGAACTGCAAAGCCACCACTACTGCTCCTCACCGCAGTGAGACGGACGCGCAGATCCGAGGGCTGGAGCCCCTCTGCTGGGAGGACAGGCTGGGAGAGTTGGGGGGGTTCAGCCTGGAGAAGAGAAGGGGAAAAAGGGGAGACCCGAGAGCCCCTTCCAGTGCCTAAAGGGGCTCCAGGAGAGCTGGGGAGGGACTTGTGACAAGGGCATGGAGTGATGGGATGAGGGGGAATGGCTTCAGACTGGAAGAGGGGAGATTTAGACGAGATATCAGGAAGACATTTTTCCCTGTGCGGGTGGTGAGCCCCTGGGGCAGGTTGCCCCGAGAAGCTGTGGCTGCCCCATCCCTGGAGGTGTTCAAGGCCAGGTTGGACGGGGCTTGGAGCAACCTGGGCTGGGGGGAGGTGTCCCTGCCCAGGGCAGGGGGGTGGAACGAGATGGGTCACTTCCAACCCAAATCATTCTATAATTCTATGAATTAACAGCACTGCCGATTTGATGACACCTGCCTGTCGCACGTTGCTGTAAAAGCTTCAGCACTTCATCAGCGACTGCAGGAAAAATAAAGGTTCCTTCCTTTCCATCAGTGGAGGCTGTTTTGCATTCTCACGTGTTTGCAGAATCCAGTTGCTCCCGGGTGCGCCCCGCAGCAAACACGGCAGCCTGCCTCCAGCGCGGGCACGGCCATGGCAGCCCTGCATCTCCCTTCACCGCAATTCCGGAACTCCCAACACCCTGCTGCAAACTCTCCTCTGAACTCCGAGAAGGAACTGCAGACCGTGGGTAAGGTCATGCTCAGTCCGCACCGCGCTTATTCCTGGCGGGACTCAGCCTGCAGCTCCTCTCTACCTTGCTTCATGCACTGTGCCACTAAACCTCCCCCTGGAAAAATGAACCCTCTCATACAAGACGGGGTAAGAGAATAGAAAGTCTCACTCAGAAGTTTTGTTAACTTCACAATTTTACCGCTTATTAAATTATTCATACTCTGATGACATATGCCTGTGTGTGTGTAATCGCAGACCCTGTTTTATTAATCTCACTTTTACAATAAAGTTTTTTTTATTTAACAAAGGGCCTTTCAGAGCATCATAGCACAGCGTTAATAAAAAACCCCACACAAATTCAGAACGCTAAATTAAAGAAATGTAAAAAAGATTGTATCAATCAGGTAATACAAAGTCAAAAATGAAAATGCCCAGAATTTAGTAATGTACAAATGTATCAGCCACAAAGAGCTGGCGCGTAAGGCTGGGAAGAGAGGAAGGCAGGCAACGGCGCCCTACACGTGCCAGAAAGTGCAGAGAGCCCCAAGCCCAGCGAGCAAAGGCACAGAACTGCAGCAGAGCTCCAATGATGGAGTGATCCGCTAGGATTGTCACGGGAATGGACCCGTTGGAGACGGGTGCTGATCCCAGGACACCGGAGGCAGCAGCGGGAGGTGAGCTGCTGCGGGAAACTTCGGAGCCATCACCAAAGTTGCAGTGATTTCCATCAGCTGAGGACATAACTATTGCGTTTAGAGCAGAAGTCCCCCCTGACATGGAGAATGTGCCTTAGCTGGCACATAAAGTCATATAAAATGCAAACCCATGTAGATGGAAGTAGTCTGAGACCCGTCAAACCTTTAGGCACTGGGTTACCATCCACCTCCAGTTCCATCCAAAAGGCTCCAGTGTGGGCATACAAGGGTGGTGCTTTCAAGTACCCAGTTTTAGTTTATAACTAATTCAATCTTCAGTAAGATTGGCCCCAGCAGATAACAAATTAGTGATTTTTTGTTTTTCTGTAGCTAACCTTTTTGGTTTTGTACATTAAGCTGATTTTATTGAACTATTCAATCAATTTTAATTTCAACATGTCCTTCCAATTTGTCACAACATCTCCAGGGGCATCTTAGTTTGTTGTCCTAATATTATTATTATTGTTACGGCTATTAAAAAAAAAAGCAGCTCCATGCCCCCAAGCGTGAGAGACATTTTCTTGATTTTCATCATACAGAGTAATTCTCATACACTACTTCTTCACAAAAATGACATTTTAAATAGCACAGGGCAGAAACTACAGTATAGAGGTAACCAAAATGGTCCTAACCCAGAGAAATGAAACCATTACTGTGCGTTTGCTCTGATGGTGATGCTGTGGAACTAACGAAATGAGCCTCTGCCCCGAGGGGATCCAGACTGAAAACCCAGCCCCAGTGAAGTCCTTGGGAGGTCCAGTAGCCAGTATTTTTAATAAATCTAACAAATCTTCATGCTAGAGGAAAGTAAATGTGCTGCTTCTACTTAAGACACGGAAAAAAACCCCTCATCTTGATAAATGCAGAGCTTTTGGTCTGACCTAAAAACTAAGATGGGCTTTGGAAGGAAAAAATTATGAAGGAAAGAATAATTAAAGGAACTGTGGCAGATCTAATCTGTCTGCTCTTCTGTCAATCATCTGATATAGCACCACAAAGAAATACACATCAGCTAAATTCCACATGATGGGAATTAGTTGAAGAAATTGGTTAAGCTAGTTAATGGGATCAAGGGGGTGGCTAAAAACCTAGCAGTGCCTCATACAGAAAGCAGTAACAGCTTGACAGAAGGGTAACCTGAGAATTAAATAACAGAAACAAGCAGCGATTTAACAGCACAAAATACAAGATAATGCAGCAAGGGACCAACAACAAAACTTTTCTGGAAGCTGGTTCATTGGACATGAGCAAGGAGGACCGGCACCATGGCCCACCAGCTCCCTGCCGCTGAGTGAGACAAGGACGCCGTCGACAAACGCATCGTGCGCAGTATTCGCACTGCAGATACAGCAGCATTAATTCCTGGTGCCAAGCCCCGAGGGCTCATCGGGATGCTGAGCACAACCCAGGTCCCTCGTACGCGCTGCCGAGCCACCCGGATCTGACCAGGTGCCGGCAGTGAAGAGCCCATCACCGCAGAAGAGCCCAGAAGAGCTTGGCTTGTTTAGTCTGGCAACATGAAGGCTGATGGCAGATATGATTGCTGTCTATAAATACATCAGGAGGATAAACACTAGGAAGGCAAAGGAGCAATTTAAACTAAAGGCCAATGTTAACACAAGAACAAATGGGTATAAACTGGCCATGAATAAATTTAGGCTGGAAATT